TTCCTTTATTCTTCTTCTATTCCGCTTCACCGCTTCACCGTTTCGTACCCTCCTCTTTAAGAGGTTAATTTGCTTCTTCCTATTTCTTCCCCCTTCTCGGGTAAAATCGTTCTTGGAAAATATAACGACTAAAAACAATATCCTCGTACCTCAAGAATCTGCAAGCAAGAGCGCACGAGTCGAAGGAATGGGAAACGAATGTAAAGGACAAGGGAGAAGAACAGAATATGGCTTCACGAGTACACATTATCTACTACCAAATTGCATTTGGCACATCTCCAAAAGCACACCACAGCAAACCATCGCGAGAATTGTCCTATTTTGAAATCATTCTCACTATGTGGACTAGCATTTTTACTGGCTCGTTCCGCCTAAAATCGACTGCATCCTTGTATCGTATTGTATATCCTTATAGTACACATTTCGTTTATTCCAACTGTAAGCATCGATTTTGACTCGTCAATGTTTTCACGGTGAACGACGAAAACGTTTGCTGCAGCCAATTGTGATTCGAGAAATATGCGTAGGTATGCCTTGGTTGTAAATACGTGTCGAAATCTAACGAAACGCGGGTATAGAAGGGAAAAGAAAGAGAAAGCCCAGGGGAGAATGAAGGAAACAAATAATAGAGAAAGAAGGGGAAGGAGAGAACGGCCGAGAAGAGGGGAGAGGGGCAGGGAGTGAGAAAGGGTGTGCGGGGGGGTGGCCGAGGGGAGCGGAGAGGGAAGGAGAAACAGTTTCATTACTTTCTTTCCCTAAGAAGGATATTCTTTCGAGAGGGGAAACCAGAAGACGAAACGGGAATAACCATTGAATTCCTTAAGACGTGGGGGAAACCTAAGACGCACAGAACCTTGGAACCAAGTTCAGCCGACACACCCTCTTCGAGTTCTTTGCAAGCAGAGTCATCTAAGCTTGTACGAAAAAGAAACGACAGAAAATTGTAGGATAAAGGATAAAGGAGAAAGAAAGAAAGAAAGAAAGAACAGCAATGTTCCGAAAGTAGAGAAGACAGCGCAGCTCGGAAAGAATCGATCATCTGTTTCTATTCTCGATTCTACTCGGTTTCTATTTGCTTATACTTGTTTTTCCCCTTTTCTCCGATTTATATGACTTTACTAAAAATAGCCATGCCTAATGGGCAGAACTTTATCGTATACTCCTATAGCCAGCCCCGCTACAAACTCACTGTTCCTCTGTCTCTCGACCTCGGAAGAAATTGTCTTGCGAACCGGGGCTATCGATCGTCCAGTTTCTCCCTCGCGAGTATCGTGCGCACGGGCCGTCGTCTGTCGATACGATACGATACGATACGATACGATACGATACGATACGATACGTTTTCGACACAACGCGCAGTTACATTTTTCAAGGAAAAAACAAAAGCAAATGAACCAATGTAATCTGACGAAAAAAAGCGATTTATCGAGCCCACGTTTAAACTATTCCTATCGCGTAATTGTACAACTACCATATTTTCAGATATCCCTTCAGCATATTATAATGTTGCGGCATTGCGTCTCAAATCGCGCAGTATTTGCAACTGTTCTTTTAAAGAATACATCAAAGGTTCGATAATTAATCTCGAGATTGCAAAGAGTCTGTTTGAAATCGCTGCAACATCAACAATTCATTCGGGTGTCCTACAATCCGGATATTTTTTGCAACTGTTGATTCTTTAACTCCCTACATTGTTTATAAACCAACGTTCTCAACACTTTCAGTGACAAGTGTAATATTTCACTTGTTGCGACATACGGCAAAGTTACAGGAATGGGAGGATTAGAGATTTTTCGATTAGAACGCAGCGATGCTTCGAGTTTGCGGAGTAGTGTATATTCGAAAAATGGCCTTTCTTTCTTGTATTCGACGCATGTACAAGACAAATAGGAAAATGGTCCCCATTACAGAAAGTGCTGACCATTTCTACAAGTCGTAGCCCCCGTGCAAGGTTGTATGTTTTCCGTTACCGAGAGAACTCGGACTTGCGGCACTGAAAGTGTTCAATTAGTTCCCCATAGTAAGCTGATATATTTTATTTTGGGCCAAGATACGCTTCTAGTGGGAAGATGTTAACAAAAGTGTTTCTCGCAAAGAAATTCATTTCTAGTACTGCTGTACGTTTACCTCTAATTTCTCCTAATGGATATCGAATGAATAGAAATAGAGAGAGCCTGGAGTGTACGACTCGAGGTTCGATTCGCGTCTAGTGGTTTTATTCGAATAAAATGAATTACAACGATGAATGATTCATTTTCGCCCAGTGTCGAGTTACTTTATGTGAAACTGAAAAAACGATAATACTCTTTGTACAAGATCGCAGTGCGTTGTACATGTACATATGTATTTGAATCAGAAGAATTATATGAAAATATGTTTTAAACGAATCAAGGAAAAAGTATTTACTCGTATGTGGCAGGCTACTTGTCATGGCGGTAAATCAACTCGAAAAGCTTTTTGATCGATAGAAATTCAGTGAACGAACAAACTGACAGCAAACAATGAATACACAGATTTTAGTTTTGTGCAATGGCGTATAAATAATACTCGAACACGAGTACCGTATACATCTGTACATGTGTAATGTGTGTGCGTGCGTGTGCGTGCGTGTGCGTGTGTCGCGACCGCACGCTCGGGTATCTATACGAATGTAATGTGTAACGTATCGTAATAGAGACAAACTATCCTTGCCACGCACCACTATGCAGCCTAACGTAATTTCGTCCAACGTTGGTGAAACTCCGTCATCTTTGCAACTTTCCAACTACGAAAATAGTACAACCACCGATATCTGTTCTATACAGTTCAATCGCGTGTCTTGCGAGCGGTAATTGGTCAAGTATACGTCGAACAAAATAATTCGAGTCTACGTTCAAAGCAAAGACATGGTTGTACAAAGTTATTTGAAATTCCAACCCGAAAAGAATCCAAAAGAAACGTCAAGGTATCGATCGTTTTCTCGCAATCTCGCAAAAATATGCGTACCGCTTCACTTTCAGCGTTGCTCCAACTCTCCCTGGTAACATGTACATACATACGATAACGACACTATCCGCGCGGTAGCGATGCGCTCAAAACTATTCGACGAAGCGTTCGTTAATCAACAGTGATCGAACAATCGACAAATTGCAAGAAATATTACCAATCGCGCAAACCTTCCATACAGAATCAAAGAGAACTTGCTCGCGCATATATCGCTGTGCGGTGCAAGCGAAACGACCAAATTGCAACGCGTACGCGTCTGCTCGTCAAGATTAAACGAAATATTGCTATAGAACGCAGCAACGATATCGCTCCATTCGGCGAGTCTACAGATCGCGTTTCTCTTGAAACGTTAACGCGATATCTGCATTTCCCGACGGAAATGTCTTCACCGTAACCTTCCTTCTCCGAAAGACTTGCCCGTTACAACGATTGCTGCGTGAAAAACACTGCATATAACACGCTGCATGGAAAAACATTTATTCGTTCGTGTTACGCGTTGGTCCACGTGGCATCCACACCGGCATGCGATTTAAACGTTCCGATCGTCGGTATTGGATCGATGGAACGTCAAAGTTGCAGCACACGAATCGAAATGTTCGAAATGTACGCATCCAATCGATGGTACACACAAGGAAAACAACACTCGCGTCTCTTCCATTTCTCCCGTTTCTCGCTGGATCCCGTTAAACATCCTCGAAACGAATACAAAACTTTCCGCAGAACCAACAACAATTCTATTTACGTTCGCAGAGACCGCGCACATCCTCGAACGAACGAAAATACCGAGCGATTTATTTCAATCGTTACGTATTCCTATCAGAATCTTGTTTTCCCGTGCACACGATTACACTCTTCTCGTCGAGGGAAGTTTCGTTCGTCGCGTGCAAAGAGATACGCGAGGGAAGAAACGGAGGCAACGGATCGAAAGGAGAAGGCAGAGACGCGGTGCAGCAGAATAGAAGGGACGAGAGGAAACGGAAAAATATTTGTTAATCGTCTCGCGGAATAGGCATATCGATTCCCTAGCGGTTAATACACGTATTCGCGGATCTGTACACGGAAACGAGATACCGCAATGGAAGAGTCGCTCGAGTATTTCTAATGGATTCGCCTTCCATGAACCACGAGTGCACCAATCCGATGAAACCGAACAGCGATAAAATAAGCATCGGTCGGCGATGGGCTGAGAAATCGACACGCTGCCCGCTTACTTTGGTGCCGGTCAGAGTCTCTTTTCTCCATAAACTCGTCGCATTCCGGGAGAATGTTCGATCGAGTGACACTCGTCGAAAAGGAGCAAACGACATCGAAGAGCGTTCGTTCGACTTACCATGAACCGTAAGGGCGAATACTGCTATCGCGATCAAGTTTCTTAGCCACTCGTTGCGCATCTTTTCTCTCGGTGTCCACAAATGTTGGGATGTCGTGAATCACGAACGAGGCCCTTTGTAGTTGTTTGCAAATTCAGTGCTATCGCATGCTGTCCTCGTAGTTGATGGAAAGCTGCGAACGAATTCGGAAAATAGTTCCGCGGGCAAACGGAACGAGAGAGGGGTGTAGTGTGTGTGCGTGTGGCGTGTGTGCGCGCTCGTGCGTGTAGGTACGTACGTTGAGTACCGTGTGCGTATCAAAGATGGTGACTGGGGGGGGAGTGACAGACAGAGGGACAGAGAAGGAAAGAGGCGCCGAACCGACGCACTCAATGTTGACGAGGTTAAACCGGTAAGAGATAGCACCCGCGAGAAGATTCCACTTTCGAGTTTCGAGCACAAAGTAGCTTTCCGGGCAAGAGGCGTATCTTTTCGGATGACACTCGCGCGCGCTTCATTTCCATGACATTACAACACGTTACCACTGAAATACGTGTGCGCGTGTACGTACGAAGAAAGCTGCTGACGCTCACCCGCACCCGCGTCCACATCCACGTCCACATCATATCGTAAACCCACCCACGCGAACGTGCGACGTATTCCCCATCACGCGTGTGTTCGTGAGCTCGGTATCCGCGACGCACGTATACGCGATACGTGTCGACTTTCAGTATATTCTAGCGTGCAGAGCAACGCAACGTTATGCCACTGACCACCGACCAATCGCCACCGATCCCATTCTTATCGGACAAAACGAACGACCGCTTTCGTACGACGAACTTCTGACATCGACGAGCCGAGTGCGCGCGCGCTCGCACGCACGCTCGCGCATGCAAAACCACCTACACGTATTCCAAACTATACGTGCGCTCTTCTGTTAACCTACACAACGGCGTACACAGCGGCGTAACAGCGGCGTAACAGCGGCGTAACAGCGGCGTAACAGCGGCGTACACAACGGCGTGCACACCGGATCACGGCACGTATGCACGCACTGCACGCGTCAAACGACAAGGCGGAACCACCAACCGCGCGCACTGCACTTCGTTCTTCTAGTACACTTTCATCCTCTTTGGGAACGGGTACTGCTACTCTAATTTTTTCATCGATCCGAGCCGCGCGTCCTCATTGCTACCTCATTACCGACCAACGTACACGCCAACACCAACTTTCAACGCGAACTTTCCATTTGATTCTTCTATTGCCTGGAGTCGCTGTTCCGACGACTCGTTCCGTGTCTTCGAACGTCGCCGTTTCTTCCGAAATCGATCTCTGCGTGACCGACCGTTGAGCTGTACGCCGTTTCTATGTTTCTTAAACGACGCTCACTCTTTTCCTTTATCGTGCTATTTGCCATCTTTTATCGGTGAGCGCACTTTGACTATACAAACAGGATTATTATATGCGCGGCTGCACTAGACGTAAAAAAAATCAAACTCCAAGAATCGCATGATTTCTCACCACAAAACACAACCGACCGCGACGATCGAGTCACGACTGAGGGTGCAGCGAGTTCTGTAACATCGCGCAGCCCTTCGGCTGTCTTCGAGCGTTCCCGTTCGTTTTCGGTTTCCCTTCGGCTTTTGGCTGTCCTCTCTCGGTACTCGCCGC